CCAAAATCACCATTCTAAGATGTTGGAATCATCCAAAATCCATTCTGGAACTATTTACACAAAAGTCAAATTCCGGTCAACTCTTACCGCTTAAGCTTCCAAAACTTGAATCCTCCTTCTGATTTGACTCTGAATCATCCGGTAACTGAATTCAGCCAGGCACGCAAGTCAATACACATAATATGAAGCTTCTCAAGACCTTATGCCGCCGAACAAGACTTAAATTCTCAAAATGACCGGCATGGTCGTTGCACACACGCTTCGTTGTACTACTTTAACTACATATATAACATGTTATAATATATGTTAATGTATTCATTATTTGTATTACAAAGGTGTTAACAGATTATATTTATATTATTTAGATAGTAAATATTAAACTTATTCAAAAGTTTGACCAATGTTGACCTAATAACTGACCAACTTTGGTCGGTTATTTTCGAGGAAAAAAAATATACCGACCAAAGTTGGTCGGTAAATGCTTCCCCTGCATTAACCGACCAACTTTGCATTAACCGACCACCTTTGGTCGGTAATCCTAAATATAAATTCTTTAAATTTTATAAAATATTTTAAATAATAATATAATTATTAAAATTTTAAAAATTGGGTCCACATTACCGACCAAAGTTGGTCAGTAATCAAAAAGATGCTTTGACTAAGCAAGTCTGACCAGCTCGGTCAAATTTTTGACCAATTTACCGACCAACTTTGGTCGGTATGTAATTTTAAAAAAATGTAAAATATTTTTTTTGTAGTTTCCGTCCATGTTGAACGGTCAACGTTGGTCGGTATGACTTGGTCAGTTTTTAGTGAATTTCTAGTAGTGATTCCCATTATTACTCTTCAATAATTATCATTAGTGGTGGGCCCGATCATTACACCCACTGAGCTATAAATAATAGGCTCAATAATCATTATAAGACACGATTTCCCGGACATCAAAGCAGACACAGCATCTTAATACTATTTTTCTCTCTCTAGCTTGTGGATCTAATCATCATTGTGCCCGGAGACTCTGTTCTCGGGCTCATCAGATCTATAGTTCCATATGTATTTTGAGCTAAGTATTTTGCATTCAAATTAATTAATTCATTACTTCTTTCTACCAAATTAATTCATTTGTCTAGAAATCACGAACAAATTCAACTGTACCAATTTTTAGGTAAATAGTTTAGCGTCCACCATGGGACCTAGACAGCCATGCGATTAAATTGGTCCTTGCTTTTTCTCCATTCGCAAGCTTTGATCATTTTTATCTTAGCAAAAAATCACAAAAAAATGGCAATCAATGCCGTTAGCAACGCCCACAATCCTGAAATTCAAGAGGAGCACCCTCATTTTGAGGACTTAATAAGTGACACTCGTAATGAGCGGGACAATGCCATGTCGGTGTATGATGGGTGGTACCCCAGACAAGTACGGGAGGCGACTCCTGACGATGCCGACGAAGGGCGCGTAGCGGATGCATTGAGGGTCCTGGGCGATCATCCTAAGCCATCTTACGCGACAGGATCAGGTTATGACAGAACTATAGCAGGCACTGCCAGGTGCTTCAAATAATGCGAACAGGCGAGATCCAATTCCTCCCGTCATTCCTGCAAATCAAACAACATAGAGAATCGACAATAACACTCCCACGGGCGAAGTTGGCTCCGACGGGGTTGGGGGGAGTAGATATGGCCTCAACAACGATAATGACCCATTCAAGGAAGAACTTTTGTGGTTCATGAATGAAGTAAATGCCCGCATGGATCAGATCCCAGGCGCACCACCGGGATTGAAAGGTCCGAACTCGAAGACGTATATTCAATTACCATACAAGCCGAGTGCGGCCTCGAAACTAATATCTAAGCAGTTTAGAATGCCTGAAGTGCCGAAATATGATGGAACTTCAGATCTACAGGAGCACATTACCACTTACACAACTGCGGTAAAAGGAAATGATTTGGCTCCTCACAAGATTGAGTTTATGTTATTGAAGAAATTTGGTGAGACTCTCACGAGGGGAGCCTTGACATGGTACTCATTATTGCTCGAGCATTCCATAGATTTCTTCAAAATGCTCGCGGATTCATTCATCAAGGCCCACGCTGGTGAGAGAAAGGTACTAGCCCGAAAGTCCGACATATTCAGGATCGCGCATGGAGAATCCGAGTTATTACAGAGATTCATTAGCCAGTTCTAGAAGGAAAGGATGTTGTTATCGGGTGTCCTGGATGAATGGGCAGCTGAAGCGTTCATTAAGGGTTTAAACTCGAGAAGTTCGAATGCTTCCCGGAAGCTGAAGGAAAGTCTGCTCGAGTTTCAAGCAACAACTTGGGAGGATGTCCACAACCAGTACGAGTCAAAAATAAGGATCGAAGACGATCAGGTTTACTTTCCATCATCGGCAAAAGGACGGGAGAAGAACAAATATAAATGAAAGACGATATTGACTCGGATAAACGAACTTCAAGAGGCCGATTTCATCCCTACGAGCGGACGGAAGGTCGTGAAAGGAGCTTCCGGATGTCAGGCAAGTTCACAGTTGACAGGAGGTTCTTCTTATCCAAAGTTATAAGAGTATAACTTCAACGTCAGCGTGGTGGAGTTAGTGTCGGCCATGAGAGATATCAAAGAGGTACGATTCTCAATACCTATGAGGTCCGATCCCAGCCGGAGGGACCCAAATTTTTAGTGTGAATACCACGACACTAATGGACATCGGACTGGGGACTGCCGGCACCTCCGAGAAGAAGTGGCAACGCTGTTAAAGAATGGTCACCTCAGAGAATTATTGAGTGACCGAGCCAAAAACAACTATGGTCGGGACAGGGGCGACGCACAAACCTTGAAAGCAGGAGAGGAACCTCCACGCCAAACGATCAACGTGATCTTCAGCGGAATGAGATCAATGGGATCACCTTCTCGGCCGCAAAGAAGACAAAAGTATGAACAACCCATAATAAGAGGCTCCGGGAAGATGATATCACATTCACGGATGAAGATGCAGACGGATTACTACTGTCGCAAAATGATGCACTGGCAATCTCTTTAAATATGTTAAATTTTAAAATTAAATGTGTTTTAGTAGATCTAGGAAGTTTCGCTAATATCATTCAATGGAGAGTTCTGGATCAAGCTAAACTCACCGGGAGCATCATCCTGGCGACAAAGCTCCTTGTTGGATTCGACCTCACAAGTGTGACAACCCGAGGGGAAATTTTACTCCTCACGGATGCCGAGGGCATAACAAAGATAGCTCTCTTTGAAGTAGTAGATGGAGACATGGGCTATAATATCATCCTGGGAAGGCATGGTTGCACGAGATAAAAGTTGTGCCTTCGACGTACCACCAATTGCTGAAGTTTCCCACACCCGAGGGGATCAAACAAATAAGAGGTGATCTACCGGCCGCAAGAGAAATGAATGCGATATCGGTCTCCCATAGCAAAGGAAAGGAACCTGCGGCATAGAAGTTACCGGAACTAGCTTCCGCCCCCGAACCAGAGGGAATTTCCCTGAAGACAGAGGAGTCAAAACAATACCAGGTGCCAAGGTACTTCCAAGTACCGGAAGAAACAGACGTAATGAAGTCCACGGCAGAAGAACTGGAGCAAGTTGCGCTGTATGAAGAGTTCCTAGAAAGGAAATTCCATTTAGGAATAGGACTATACCCGGAGCTCAGGTCTGTTTTTATTGAATTCCTTAAAATTAATGTTCATTGTTTTGCATGGTCGCACGAGGATATGACGGAAATCCTGACAGAGATAGATATGCATAAGTTAAGCTTGGATCCAAGCATACCTCCGGTAAGGCAAAAGAAGTGCCCTATTGCAGAAGCAAGGAATAAATTCGTCAGAGAAAAGGTAACCCATCTACTTGAGATCGGTTCGATCCGAGAGGTAAGATATCCAAATTGGCTAGCTAATGTAATAGTGGTTTCTAAGAAAAATAATAAATTTTGCATGTGCGTAGACTATAGGGATCTTAATAAGGCATGTCCAAAGGACTCATTCCCATTGCTGAATATCGATCAAATAATTGATGCCACGGCCGGGAACGAGTTAATGAGTTTCCTCGATGCCTATTCTGGGTACAATCAAATCAAAATGAACCCAGAAGACCGGGAAAAGACTTTGTTTATAACGAATTTTGGCACATATTATTATAACGTAATACCCTTCGGGCTAAATAACGCCGGAGCCCTTTACCAACAACTCGTGAATAAAATATTCGAAAAATAAATAGGAAAGACTATGGAAGTAGGGGTGTTCATGGTTCGGTTTGGGTCGGTTTTTACCTTAAAAAAAACAAACCAAATACGTCGGTTATTCAAATTGTTGAACCAAACCAAGCCAAATTAATAGAAATTAATAGATTTCGGTTTTTGTCGGTTTTTTTTTTCGGTTTTTCAATTTTTTCGGTTTTTGTCGGTTTTTTTAAGAATACATGAGTTGTGGCCTTTATGATTCCTTTTGGAAAGGGGTTTGCTTTCGGTTGAATGACAGGTAATGAGAAACTCAATAATGAAATGACTGGATAAATAAACAAGATGTCCCAACTTTACACAAAAAACACATAACAAATATTTGGCTCCTTTAGAACTCTAGCCAAAGAGTACAGCTAAAAGAGAGAAGTTATATGACCTTTCTAGCCACATAGAAAAATTAGACAAGCATGTCCAATTTTATATCACTCACTACTCAGACCTGTGCACTTAAAACTTCATTACACAAATAAATACACATCTATAATCCCTCGTGAAAAAAAAAATGCAAACTTGTAGTTGAAGATGGAGCTAATCACCAAAGACACACATTAATGCTATTTTATCATCCCAATTTTAGAAAGTTAACTGATGATTTCAAAGTCACAAAGTTTATATTACAATAATTAAATTATAATAGGATATTGTAAAATAGTTTTTCATATGGTAAAGTAAATCATCCATATCAAAAAATACATCCAAATTCTAAGCAACAAGAATATGGTTGAAGCCAGTTCCATCATCCGATCTAATCAATGCTCAAAACATTGTCGGGATATTCTGAAAGATAAAAAAAATAAAAATATTAAGCATTAAGTAATCCACAAATATAAATATATTCATAATGAGTTAAATGTATAAAATTACCTTTTTCAACTATTTCAAGTTTTTGGATTTCTTCTAAATTATCTTTAATGTTGCATTCTTTGGGAGTTGACCTGAGCCATTGTTGAGTGCAAATTAGAGCTTCTACTGTCTTTGGCGATAAAGAACTTCGATATGAATCAAGAATCCTCCCACTAGTACTAAAAGCCGATTCAGATGCAACAGTAGAAACAGGAATTGCAAGAACATCTCATGCAATCCTAGAAACAATTGGATACCTTTTACTTGCATCTTTCCACCAAGATAAAATATTAAACTCTTTGGCCAACTCCAAATCATCTATCAAATACTCTCAAGATCAGTCTTACTTCCTTCATTATCTTGTTCTTGCAAATATTTTTCCCATTATGATTTTCATATCTCTCCAGTATCACCTTCACTCATCGTACTAACTTGACCTCCCAAAATCTCATCAGAATTTTCAGCAGAAGAATCTTTATAGCAATTATACAAGCGAGATAGAGTATCTATCACTTTGTTTGATCTCAAATCTCCCGTCACAAAACCATAAAATTTAGCAAAAATGAACTTCACATACCTTATCTTATACCGAGGATCCAATACAACAGCGACAAATAATAATATATTCATATTATCAAAGTCACCCAATATTTATCAAACTTGAGTTTCATCTTAACAACCATATCAATCAGAACTTGATCATCACTTTGAGAATTTTTGACAATAAAGTTAAGAAGATAAAAAAGCTCATGGAAGAAAGAATTTGAAGTAACATATAAAGTTCCTGAAAATTTCAAAGTAATCTGGTAGAAAATGTCAAGAAACTTTGTAAAAACCTTTACATTCTTCCAATCATCCCCACTTGGGTGCGCTGCTTTTCCAATCATATCTAGACAATACTTTTGGTACTTGTGATCATCAATAAACATTCTTGAAAAGGCCTTCTCAAATTTTATAGCTATACTTAACATCATATAAGTTGAGTTCCAGCTGGTTTCAACATCTAAACTCAAAAGGCCATGGCTATCAATCTTTACCTTTTCAACAATTGATTTAAAGGAAGCTAATCTTCCAGAAGAGGACTTAACATACTTCTCAGAATTTCTGATCCGAGAAATAGACTCAATATGATCACTTAATCCTTCTTTTACAATTAAATTCAAAATGTGAGCATTACATCTAACATGTAGAAAGTCATTTCCCAAGACGATTCCTTTCCAATCATCAATCCTCCCTTTCAAGTGTCTAATTGCTACATCATTAGCAGTTGCATTATCTAGGGTCACAGTGAATAGATTTTCAATTCCCCAATCTAACAAACAAACCTCAATACCCTTTGCAATTATTTCACCCTTATGATCTGGAACTTGAAAAAAGTTCAGAATTTTTTTTTGCAAGTTCCAATTATCATCAATCCAGTGGGCAGTTATAACCATGTAAGTTAGGTTTTGGAGCGATGTCCACGTATCACTAGTGAGACATACATGTTGATTTTGAATATGCTTTTTAAGCTTTTCTTTTTTCTCATGATAAATTTTTAAACATTGCCTAGCAATAGTCAAACGAGAGGGTAACTCAAAATTAGGCACAACAATTGACATTAATCTTTTAAAACCTTCCCCATCGACGACTTTAAATGGTTGTTCATCAATGATCACAAATTCAGCAATATCCCTTCTTACTTCATTGATATTATACACAACTCTTTCGAGTTTACAAGCACCAACACTACCTTCTTGTCCGCTTCCTTTAATTGGGTAAGACCTAAGTGTCGTCTGTGTTCTGTCAATGAATCTAAAAGGGAATTTCTTACAAACAATATTCAAATGGTTCCATAATATAGTAGTTCCATTTTTTTTTAGTATCGGAAGCAAAAGTTTTAGTACAGAAACTACATTTTGACTTATGCTTACCATCTTTATCAAAAAATTTAGAAAAGTATTTCCAAATGTCTGATGTTTCCCTCCCAAGGCCAAAATCATTTTCAGAAGGTGCTGCTCTTTTATGCTTTTTAGGAGGAGTAGGAATACTTAAATCAATAACTGGAGTATTGTTGCCTTCAAGTTGAGAAATTTCCTGAAACTCGGCTTCTGAATCCATCTGCTAAGAGAGACGAAATAGGCAAACAATAGTCAAGAACAAAAAGAACTACATAAGAGATACAAAAATACTTTACAATTTTATGTAAATTATTTTCAAATTATCCATTAAAAAAAGATAACTAGTTGGGGTTAAGACCAAAAAGAAAGGCAAAAACCTGTTCATTTCTCATAATTGCGGTTGCCATCGGTCGCTATCAAGAATTTTAGAGGGAAAGAGGAGAGAATTTTGTTTGGCATGGAAGCTGCGTATGTTTTGTTGTGAAGANTAAATAATTTTTAAAATAGGTATCTATATGATCGGTTTGGTTCGGTTTTTTTCGGTTTTTTTTTGTATAAAACCAAAACCAAACCAAATATTATCGGTTTTTTAAAATTAAAAACCAAACCAAGTTAAACCAAAAAGATGTTGGTTTTTTTTCTCGGTTTGGTTTGGTTTTTGGTCTGGTTCGGTTTTTCGATTTTTGGCGAACACCCCTATATGGAAGTATATATTGATGATATGCTCGTTAAGTCTTTGAATGCAGGTGATCACCTGAAGCAGCTCTAAGAAACATTTGACACACTGAGAGAGCATAATATGAAGCTTAACCCCGAGAAGTGTGCATTCGGGGTCAGTTCATGTAAGTTCTTAGGATTCCTGGTCTCATAAAGGGGAATAGAGGTAAACCCCGACAAAATCAAAGTCATTGAGGACATCCCGGATCAACTATTCAATGTAAAGGAAGTCCAGAGACTCACAGGCAGATTGGCAGCTTTGAGCATGTTCATTTCCCGATCATCGGAAAAATGTCATCGCTTCTTCGCGCTGCTCAAAAAGAAAAATAATTTTGAGTGGACACCGGAGTGTCTACAAGCCTTGAAGGAATTGAAGAAATACTTGTCAAGTCCTCCATTGCTTTCGAAACCAAAAGAGGGTGAAACTTTACTGGTTTACCTGGCGATCTCGGAAGTTACGGTAAGCGCAGTTTTAGTCCGGGAGGATAAAGGTACACAATTTTCCATTTATTACGTTAGCAAAATTTTAACGGGAGCAGAAACTCACTACCTGCACCTGGAAAAAGTGGCCTTAGCTCTCGTAGTCACCGCTCGGAAGCTGAGGCCATACTTCCAATGCCACCTGATAGCCATGGTAACTACATTTGCTTTAAGGAATATACTCCATAAACTCGAGCTCTCGGGTAAATTGGCCAAATGGGCCGTTCAAATGAGCGAGTTCTACATAGAGTATTGTATACGGTCAAAATTGGTTAGTCCTTCATACGAACTGGTCGAAATGGTAATGAATTGGATCGAAGAGCGTCTTCATAATATCAGTTTGAGGTCCGAAGTCAGGTCACCAAACTTCGAGCCCTAGGGACCGATCAATGTCGAGCTCGATATCATTATTGAGCTCGAATCCAAATCGAACTATGATGCAAAGTGAAGTTATCGAGCTTATGAGGCAGGGACCGACCAACACTGACCCCGAATCAATACAAGGATCCGAGTCAGAATTGAGCTCTAGTCAATATCAAGCTCGAGTCAATATCTAGCTCATAGATAAGAGTCATTTCAATCGCACTAGAGGCGAGAATCCTGGCAGAAATTATAGAAAAAATGATTTATCATGGGTCTCCCACTATGTATTTTTAATTATATCTAAAGTAGGATCCCTCAACTATAAAAGGGATGGTTATTATTTATGTAAGGACCAAGTTTTTGGCATACATTGTAACTGAGATATCATACACTCCTATATTGAAGAGTTATCCTTTTTTAGCTTCATAGATTGATTCATCTTGCTTAATATATAAATCATCTTCTTTCCAACTTTGACTATTTTTCATTATCCACAGTCAACACTCGATATTTCTATTCATTCTTACGATTTGTGTCAAGTTATACCACATACTCTTAGAACTACGTACAAATTTAACTCTATTCATTTTTTGGGTAAACAAATATAAACCGAGGAAAGCGATTAAATCATAAGTCCTGGCTGATTTCGTGGCCGATTTCAGACCCGGACTATTACCTCTAACTGCCAGAGAGGCAATAATGGTGTCAGAACCGACACCGGGAGTCTGGACCTTATTTACGGACATATCTTCAAAGGTGAAAGGGTCCGGTCTTGGAAAAGTCTTGATCACGCCTTCGGGGGATACCTTATGGCAAGCCATCAGAACGATCCCTCTGACTAACAATGAAGCAGAGTACGAAGCTTTGATTGCAGGGCTCGAATTGGCCCGGGGACTTGACTCCGAAGCCATCAAAATCAAATGTGATTCACAGTTGGTGGTAAATCAGGTCTACAGAATTTTTGACACCAAAGATGAGCGTATGCAACAATACGTGGTAAATGTTCAGGCTTTATTGTCACGATTCCGAGAGTGGTCAATAACCCACATCCCAAGGGAAGAAAATGCAGAAGCGGATGCATTAGCAAATCTGGGCTCATCAACAGAAATCCAAGGACCGAAATCAGGTACATTGGTACAACTGATGAACTCAGCCTTGGGCACAGATGGTTACTACGAGATAAATTTGACTAGTCCAGTCTAGGACTGGAGAAATGAGATAATCAATTATCTCGAGCATGGAAAGTTGCCCGAAGACCCCAAAGCATCGAGAGCATTGCGTGCCAAAGTTGCACAATATAGCTTCAAGAAATACCAATTGTACAGAAAATCCTTTCAAGGCCTGTTGGCCCGGTGCTTAGGAGCATCAGAAGCCAACTATGTCATGACAGAAGTCCATGAAGGGATATGCAACAACCACTCGGGCGCAGATTCGTTGGTGTTGAAGTTAGTCAGATCAGGATATTACTGGCCCCGTATGGAACTAGATGCCAAGAACTTTGTTCGACAATGTGATAAGTGCCAACACCACGCACCACTAATACATTAACCGGCGGAACCCCTACATTCAGTTCTGTCCCCATGGCCATTTATGAAATGGGGAATGGACATCGTCGGACCACTACTACCGGCTCCTGGAAAGGTAAGGTTTCTTTTAATTTTGACTGACTATTTTTTAAAATGGGTGGAAGCAGGTCCTTATCAAAAGATCGGAGAACGTGAAATGGTCAACTTCCTGTGGGAAAACATAATTTGTAGGTTCGAAATACCAAAAGAGATTGCATGCGACAACGGACCACAATTTATCGGGGAAAAAGTTACAAAATTCCTTGAAGATTTGAAGATAAAAAGGATTACCTCTTCACCTTACCATCCGAGTGCAAATGGCCAAGCTGAGTCAACAAACAAAATAATTGTGCAAAATCTAAAGAAAAGGTTAGAAGCAGCGAAAGGCCGTTGGCCCGAAGAATTACCTGGGGTACTATGGGCCTACCGAACGATGGCCAAGTCAAGCACATGAACCCTTTTTCCCTTGTGTACGGTGCAGAAGCTTTGATACTGGTGGAAGTAGGGGAACCAACCTTAAGGTATTTTCAAGCAAACGAAGAGTCAAACAATGAGGCAATGCTAATAAACTTGAAACTGCTCGAAGAACTTAGTGACTTGGCACATGTCAGAATGGCAGCTCAAAAGCAGAGAATGAAGCGATATTACAATCAAAGAGCCAACCTCCATTATTTCAAAGTGGGAGACTTGGTCTTGAGGAAGGTGACTCAGAACACCCGAGAACTCAATGCGGGCAAATTAGCCTCTACGTGGGAAGGCCCTTACCAGGTTTCAGCTATCACTAATAAAGGGTCATACGAGTTGGAAAACCGCAATGGAGACAAGTTGCCCAACAACTCAAATGTGGCTCACCTCAAAAAATATTACTGCTGACAAACAGTAGACAAATGGAAGCAATGGAAAAGCATATTACGAAGACAACAGTGATAAGGCCTTCGGTGACAAGGCAAACAAACAAGTTTCCACTCGGGGACGATAAGGTAATCTTTGCTTCGATAGCAAATTCCCACCGGGAAGTTAAGTTTGCTACCGAACAAAGGTTACATGATTGTTCACGAGCACAAACCACTAGAGGGGTGTTAGGTTTTCTTTCACTCGATAACATTGATTCCTAATGGGAATCAAGATATGTTGCCAAATGAAGGATTACCTAGCGATTCATTGGTAGGATCTTCGAAGACACAAGACTTCTAGTATTCCAATTCTCATTCTTCGCATTCGAACACTGGGGGGAGGGGGGAATGATATGAGGACAAGGCAACATTGAATGCCATGTCAACCGGGAATAAAAATATGGCAAGGAAACACTAAATGCCATGTCAACCGGGAATGAAAATCGAGCAAGGCAACACTGAATGCCACGTCAACCGGGAATGAAAATCCGGCAACAAAGTGCATCATCGGGACTGGGGACTGCATAGACAGCCCCGTAGAAACAAGTTATACAACATAGCCACAAGTCAGGAAATTTTCTGCATAGCAAAATGCCTATGTAAAACTCTAAAAATGGAAGGGATAAAGTGAACCTTTTTATTAAAATCTTGTTTCATGTCCGAACGATGAGCTAACTTTGTCATTTGAAAATTAAATAAGTACTTCAAATGATAGTGTTGTAATGAACAGAAGACGTTCTCTTCAAGAGCACCGTAAACATAAGAGGGCCCTCTCTTATAAAAACCCACCCGTTAAAGTGTTGGTTCCGGAAGAATGTATGCCCGAAACCAAAAATGCTATCGGAGAAATGCTAGGGACCGATCAATATCGAGCTCGATTTCATTATCGAGCTCGAATCCAAATCGAACTATGATGCAAAGTGAAGTTATCAAGCTTATGAGGCAGAGACCGACCAACACTAACCCCAAATTAATACAAGGATCCGAGTCAGAATCGAGCTCGAGTCAAGATCGAGAGCTCGAGTCGATATCAAGCTCGAGTCAATATCGAGCTCATAGACAAGAGCCATTAAAATCGCACTAGAGGTGAGAATCCTGGCAGGAATTATGGAAAAGCTGATTTATCATGGGTCTCACACTATGTATTTTTAATTATATCTAAAGTAGGATCCCTTCACTATAAAAGAGAGGGTTATTATTTATGTAAGGACCAAGTTTTTGGCATACATTTAACTGAGATATCATACACTCCTATATTGAAGAGTTATCCTTCTTTAGCTTCATAGATTGATTCATCTTGCTTAATCTATAAATCATCTTCTTTCCAACTTTGCCTATTTTTTATTCTCCACAGTCAACACTCGATATTTCTATTCATTCTTACGATTT